AGTCACCAAAAACAGATACTACATAAAATAGATACTTAAGTAGATAAACAAGAATAGATACTGGCCCATTATGGACATTTCAGAACATACCTTTCCAGGGAAAGCCACAGGCTGCCCAGTTCCAGCCAGGCATCTGCCTAAGCAGCCTGGGATGACTGAAAGCGGTTGCATGCTATCTAAAGCTGGCCTGGTGGCTGTGATGGCTTAACTGCATCAGAAAGGCTGTTGTAAAAACAAAGAAACTTGGAACCACGGCATTTTTGTATCACTAAGTGATAGATACCAAAGCAAATGATCACAAAGAAATAGAACCAGGCACCGGTGGCTCATGCCTATAATCCTAGCTACTCAGGAGGCTGAGATCTGAGGATCTCAGTTCAAAGCTAGTCCAGGCAGGAACATCGGTGAGACTATTATCTCCAATAAACCACTAGAAGACTGGAAGTGGTGCTGTGGCTCAAGCGGTAGAGCGCCTACCTGGAGCTGAAGAGCTGAGGGACAGTGCCCAAGCCCAGAGTTCAAGGCCCACGACCGACCAAAAAAAAAAAAAAAAGAAAGAAAAGAAAAAGAAAAGAATGTATTGATCCATAGAAGTGATCTAGTTTCCGGTATGTGGGGCTCGTCTAGGGCTCTGTTCTTGCTTCATCCTGTGTCTGCCTTTGTTGCTGTGGCAGTTTCAGGCATTCCTTGCAATGGGGAACACAGATGGCTTCAGGGACACAGAAGAGATCTGACCCTTTCAGATCTCCTTATACCAAAGATTGTGGAAAGTTTTGGGAAGACTGGGCATGTGACGGGGCTGGGTTGTTCTGTGACCTCCGTGAAGCTGCTATGAGAAAACAAAAGCTGACAAGCAGGGAGAGGACACAGGGGGCGCCATATTGTCCTGGGGGTGGGGTCAGGCTTGGGGTTAGCCGGAGGATGGCTCCCAGCCCAGACAAGGCCTGACTAAAGACAGACAACAGGGGCTGGGAAGGTGGCTCAGTGGTAGAGCGCTTGCCTTGCATGAGGCCTTGGGTTCGAATCCTCAGCACTACATAAGCAGGAAAAGCTGTAAGTGGCGCTGTGGCTCAAGTAGTAGAGCGCTAGCCTTGAGCTGAAGAGCTGAGGGACAGTGCCCAGGCCCAGAGTTCAGGCCCCATGACTGACAAAAACAACAATAACAGCAGCAACAAAAAACACCACAGACAAGAGGGCATGGAAGTTTCCTGAAGGAAGAGATGGGACCCGGACACCACTGTCACAGCAGGGAATGCTCATCCTGGGTGGGGTGGGCTAGGACTCAGGTTGCAGTGCTCATAAAGGTGGCTGAGCAGCTCATACCAGAGAGATTTGGGCTCTGTAGTGTCACCCTTGCCATTGGTGGCAGTGGGGGAGGGGCAAGGCACTTCCTGTCTCAAGAAAGGAGCTGCACATGGGGTTGGGGGGGTCTCAGCAGGAGGAAGACCGCTACAAGCTGATGCTCAGTCGAAGCGACAGTGAAAACATTGCCAGTAACTACTTCCGGTCCAAGCGGGCCAGCCAGATCCTCAACACGGACCCCATGAAGAGTCTGGGTGAGTGCCCCGTGCTCCCCACATCCCCTCAACCCAGAGGAGACCTGGGTTCAACCCTCTCTCCCTCAACGAGCCTCAGTGTCCTCAGCTATAAAACTAGGGGCATGACAGGCCCTTCTCAGGACTCAATGAGACGAGCTGGGGAACAGCTCAGCCAGGGCCTGGCATGTAGTAGGCATGCAGGGAGCCTCCTGACACACAGGGAGGCTGTGCATAGGCCAGGTCTTGCTTACTCTTGTTTCCTCAGATGTAGGGATGCTGGCTTTCCCCAAGTAAAGGCAACCAGCTTCATTTGCTCAGGCCCACTGAACCCAAGGGGGCAGAAGGACCCCCAAAACAAAATAATTTCAAGAATTAAGAGCTTCAGTGAAACAGGACTAAGAAGCAAGTCAAGTTCTGCTCTGAGGCTGGCAGTGTGAGTGGTTGGGCACAGTGGCGCACCCCTGTGATCCCAGCTATGCAGGAGGCTGAGATCCAGAGGATCTTGGTTTGAAGCCAGCCTGGGAAGACAAATCTGTAAAACTCTTTATCTCCAGTTAAGCAAACAACCAGGCTGGTTGAGCAAACAGCCAGATAGGAGGCATGATAAAGGGCCAGCTATGGAATGTAAGGTCCTGAGTTCAAATGCCAGTCCCAGAGACAGTGAGCATAGATGAAAAATAGTGGGGGTGGGGGGTGGGAAAAGAGGTGGCTAGAACAGGAAAGAAAACGAGCATCAATTGGGTGCCTGGCATTGGGCCATGTTGCAGGTGAGGAAACTGAGGCTCAGAGGGGCCAAGTGGCTTGCCCAAGGTGATACTGCTAGGAAGTGGGAGGCTGGGCTGTGTCAGAGCTTGTCTGCTTGAGGCTTTAAGACCCCCCAAGCCCCAGCTGAGACCTGAGTGGGTCTGAGTAGCACAGAGCCCAGTGGGGTGGCGTGCCCAGCTCTCCTGACTCACATCTGGTTTCTGCCCTCCTCTCTACAGCGCACCGCAACTCCCCACCAGGCTTCACCTCCCCGCTCAGCAACCCTGCCATCTCCCTCCCCCAGGCCCCTGAAATGCCCCAGCCCAGACCCTTCCGCCTAGAGTCCCTCGACATCCCTTTCTCCAAGGCCAAGCATAAGAAAGGCAAAAGCAACTGTGGCAACGAGCCTCTGTGATGGCATCTGCCTGCCTGCCACCTGCGCTAGGCTTCTAGAAACTGCCAGGCTCTCCCAGGGCAGCCCCAACCAGGCTTCCTTCCCCTCAACCCCCCACTGACCTGGGCTGAGGGGGCCTCAACCCTGAGCTCACCGGAAGCTGGAGTCTGAGAAACCTGCCATCGCTGTCCCACGACCATGCCAGTGTTGCCATGGAGCCTGTGCTTGGGCCTGCCCCTGGGTATTTGCCCTTTGCCCAGATGGGCGCAGAAGCCCCAGGGCCTTCACCAGGGCCCAGAGAAGCTGCTTCACCTTAAGTTGTCCAATAAACTGCCTTTAAGGTTGAGCTACCCCCTTCCCCGCCCTGTGCACATCCCAGGAGCCCCTCCCTGCTATCATGGGAAGCTCTCTCTGAAAAGGGGGTTCTCCACTGCCTGGGGTCTCTGGGGTTTCTCCTGCAATTTTTTAGGAGAGTCTGAACTTTCAGATCTATGGCGTCCTCCTCGTGGAAATAGATCATGTCTTGCAAGGCAGAAAATGATCCAGGTTTTTTGGTTTGTCTGTTTACTTGGTGGTACTGGAGTTTGAATTCAAGGTCTCGTGCTTGCTGGGAAGGCACTCTACCATTTGAGCCAGCCCGTCTTGCTTTACTTTTTTAGATATAGTCTTGCTAACGTGTTGCCTGAGCTAGCCTTGAACTCATTTCCTCCTGATTATGGTCTCCTGAGTATCTGGGATTAGAGGCATAGCAACCCAGCTCTTGAGAGTTCCCAGGGCATACGTGAAACTACTTGTCCCAATAGAGCCAAAAATGAAGCCAGATGGCTGTTTGTGCCCTCCAGGGGTTAGAGCCTTCCCTTCCCCATTGTAACCCAGGCCTACCTTGGGGGAAAGGGGGTGGCGCACAGTCTGAGAAGGAGCCCTCTTCTCTCAGCAACAGGGAGGGTTTCATGAGATAACTCTACTTTGTGCAGTGTCCACAGGCTGCATGTCTGAGCCAAAGTGCTCTTATTGGAGAGGCCAGATAGGGCTCTCAAAGTGGGAGGATTCTGGGAGCTTTGGGACTGTGAGAATGGGTGAGGAAGAGGTGGGGAAGCAGGAACAAGAGGAAGGAATAAAGCTGTGGAGATGAGTTTAGGTTGAAACCTAGAAGAAAGAGCCCAGAAATAGCCCTGAACTGTGGGAGGTCCAGGAACAATAGGTTTGTATCCTTGTGAGGGGCAGGAGGTTAACTTTGGTGAAGCCAGCTGGGATGGGATGTAAAGGAGTGTCAGGTAAGACAGGCATCCAGAGGGAGGATTTGATTTTCATCCTCACTCTTGGGTTGGTGGACAAGTGTCAGAAAACAGGTCCCAGCAGGGCCAGCGACTCGAGCCTGTAATCCTACTCAGGAGGATGTGACCTTTGAGGATCACAGATCAAAGCCAGCTGGGGCAGAAACGTCCCTGAAACTCTTCTCTCCAATTAACCACTAACAAGTCAGAAGTGGGGCTATGGCTCAAGTGGCAGAGCGCCATCCTTGAGTGAAAAAGCTCAAAGGCAGCGCCCAGGCATTCAAGCATTACAGCGCACGGTGCACACACTGAAGGAAATAAAAAGGTGGAAATAAACGGTCCCTTCCCTCTCCACATCCACCCTCACCATCGGCCCCAGGAGAGAGGCGGGAGGCCGAGAACGCCTCCAAACCTGCCTGCGGCGACGAGCGCGGGAGGAGGCTCGGCGGCGGCTCCGAGGGCGCACAAGTGGAGGGGCTGGGCCCCGTCCCGACTCCCGCAGGCTCAGCCAGCGACGCCCAGGGGCAGGGCTAGTGAGAGGTGGGCCTTGGGATCCGAACCCAGGTCGGGCTCCAGAGCGGGAACGTTTGAATTGCTGGGCCACGCCGCCGTCCGCGCAATCTACAGTGTGGGCCCCGGTTGGGCCGGAGCCGTCCCCACCCGCAGGCTCCCTGCCGGAGAGGGAGATGGGCTCGACTCCCAGTCCTAATCCACCCTAAACCAGTGAGGGCCGAGGAGGCGGCTCGGGACCCCAGACCCCGTCCGGGACAACCGTGACCCCCGGGGCCAGGAATGAAGCGGGTCGGAGCAGCGGCGAGAGGCTCCCGGGCGGAGTCAATAGACGTTCCGCCTTGTTGATTGGCCGCGGCAGCAGAGCTGGCTCTCTGTGATTGAGCCTTTTCCTCTGGGGGAGGCGGGGACTCAAGCTCCCTCCACCAATAGAACTCAGAGAACCCGCCTCGGGCCGGGGCACTTCCGCCGGTGCTACCTGCTCACCAGTTGACTGGTCACCGCCAAAGCCGGGGCTCTGGTAGCCCAACACCGAAGGCTTCGGATCACTTCCGGGTGGCGCTCCCGGGCTCCGAGCCGTGATTGGGCGACTGTAGACAGGGCACTTCCGGTGTCCAGGTGCTGGGCTCCCCGGCAGGAAGGAAAGATGGAGCCCTGCGCCGTGACCCGCGCTCCAGCCCTCTCGTGGCTGCTGCTGCTGCTGCTGGGCTCGGTGTGCGGCAGCGGCCCCCGCACGCTGGTGCTGCTGGACAACCTCAACCTGCGGGAGACGCACTCGCTTTTCTTCCGGAGCCTGAGGGGTGAGAACGGGATTCTAGGGGCGGAGGGTGAGCGCGGGGTTGGGCAGCGCCGGGGTTGGGCAGCGCCGCCCTCTCCCCTCGGGCGCCCGCGGGCATCGCCGTGCCCCCCCCCCCGGCCTCACGTCCGGCCTGCCGTCGGTGGGGGGCTGTGGCGCGGCGGCTGGGGTCGCTTTGGGGCTCATCTGTTATTTTTCTCATCCAGACCGGGGCTTTGAACTGACGTTCAAGACCGCCGATGATCCCAGCCTGTCGCTCATTAAGTATGGGGAGTTCCTCTACGACAATCTCATCATATTCTCCCCCTCGGTGGAAGGTAAGGGCCCCACCTCGCCCCGCCCCGACAGCCGGAATCCGGGGCCCCGGACGCATCCGTGGCTTTCTTGTCCCCGGGTTTGCTCCGAGTGTCGGTGGTGGCTAGCCCCGAGTACCGCGCTGCCACAGAAGAGGAACGATTGCATTTCTAACATGGGCCCCGGGAGGAGACACAGCTAAGGATTGTGGAATCACATGTTGCCCTAAGACACAGAATCAAAGTCCTGCGCATTAGGGAGCCAGGGCCTCTTAGGTGAGGTTGCCTCTGGAAACATTGCCCTGTTATTAATATGGATCGCTGGAAAAAGACATTATGCAGTGTGGAAGCTGATCGTTAAGAATTCATGTAGCTTCCGCTGAAAAAAGCATCTTAGCAATAAGCTCCCCTAGCACCCTCCCACCATTTGAAGCTGGATATTCCGTAGTGTGGCAGAGGGCTCATCGTACAAGGAGTATCTTCAGGTTATCTGATTTATACTTTACTATTTTAGAAGGTAATCCACTCCATTGCTAGACTGTTCTGTCAGTCTAGTAACTGTTCTGTCAATTCTGAGAGTCAACATTACTTAACCCTGACTCCATATTGTCACTGTCACCTTTTCTGTCCCTGGTGAATGAGAAGTGCTGTCCCAGAAAGCCCTCTCAGGCACCCTGGGAGAAGGCTTATATCTGCTGAGAGTGCAAGAGGGGTTGGATCTGCCTTGTGAGCACCTTGATTCCCCAAGAGTGTAGACAAACATGGTCTCCATGCACCAGTGGGTTCTATGCTGTCTCTGAGATCCAGAGGTTTCCATGTCTTATGTAGTAGAAGCACAGGGATTGGGATCCTTAGCACATGATCTGCACCTGGAAAACACTGGATTCCTGTTCTAATGGGGAGGTGGCTCAGCAAGATTCAGGAGTTTACTTAGTTCAGTCCCAGGCTGTCTCAGTTTAATCTTGGCAGTGTTCTTCTCTTCTGCTTGTGCAGAGGGTTCTCAGCATTGGCACTTTGGACATTTCTGACTGGGTCATTCTTTGTAGTGAAGGGTTATTCTGTGTGCTGTAGGGAGCCCAGCAGCATACCAGGCCTTGCTTTTGATTGTGGATAATGGCATTTTTAGGTGAATATGCTACATGTGACTTGAACTGTGTGCTTCTAGCTTGACAAATGTAATTAAGAGATGTTTGGCTATTTCACCCACATCTCTAGAAGTTCATCAGAGTTGTTCTTTTGAATCTTCACTGTGGGAAAATGAGGGCTTGCCCTGTAGCACATATGGTGTGCTAACTCTTCCTCTCATTTTTGGCCTGGAGGAATCCCATTTAATGCTTCCTGTGGCTGGTCTGCAGGATCTCCCACCCCTTACCAAGTATCAAGGGTCAGTGACGGATGCTTCTGGTCGCTATGCTTGGCTCCTTCTTTCAGATTTTGGAGGCAACATCAATGTGGAGACCATCAGTGCCTTCATCGACGGTGGAGGCAGTGTCCTGGTAGCCGCCAGCTCTGACATTGGTGAGTGTGCCTGGGAGGTTCTAGTGCTTTCTCCAGATCTCCAGGGAGCTTGGGGAGTATCACACATGGGAACTACTGAATTGTGGCACTGGTGGGCCCAGGAAGCAGTGAGGATGCTGCAGGGTTGTGGGGTCCCCCAGTTCCTCCTGTGTGTTCTGTGAAAGGTAGTGAGAACCCTGGCTTGTTTGTGGCTCTATCTGTAGAGAAATGCATATTGAATGGCGCCTAAGGTATTGGGTGGATTTCTACTTTTTCTGGTTTTGAAGGTTGCAAAGATGCCCAGAGCAGGGAGGCCCATGAGCCCCTAGGTTCCTCCCGTGTGCTGGTGGCCTGCCTCCACAGTCTGGCCCAGGCTGCTTTCCTCTCTTCATTAGTGACAGATTTTAAACTTGCATTGATCCTAGTTGGTGCGTTTCTTGCAGGGTCTGGGAGGAATGTTGCCAAGGACTGGAGGAATCTTGTGGTCTAGTCATGTCTAGGGCAACATTGGCTATGCTGCAAAGAGGGGTTCTGTAGAGCTGGGTCATACTGGTTTATGGAGGGAGAGAGTTCTGATTCTTACCCCTGGAAGTCATGCCCAGCCTAATGAAACTGTAGGACACTAGGTGTGCCTGACCAGTAACAAGGTTACTATATACTACTAGGCTGGGCCCACCATCTGTGCTTAGCCAGGCATTTCTTGGGTGTTGCAGGTGACCCTCTTCGGGAGCTGGGCAGCGAGTGTGGGATCGAGTTTGATGAAGAGAAAACGGCTGTCATTGACCATCACAACTATGATGTCTCAGATCTTGGCCAGGTAATCAGACTTGTCACCTTTCAGGTTTCTGGCATGGACAGCAAAGCTTGGCTCTGAGCTCCCTAGCCTGGGAAGCCTTTTCCTAAGGCCACTCCTTCCCCTCCCCTCTGCAGCACACGCTCATCGTGGCTGACACAGAGAACCTACTGAAGGCCCCGACAATTGTTGGGAAGTCATCTCTAAACCCCATCCTCTTCCGAGGAGTTGGGTGAGTATCAGGCCAACAGAAACTTGGGGGGAAAAGGGGCCACCTTCTTTCTGGGGAAATCAAGCCAAATTTAAAGTTATTGGGGGATGTTCCTCCTCTAGAGAATGTGTGAGAGTAATAAAGAGGAGAGCTAAGTGTTACTATAAGTGTAACTATAAAAAGAGGCTTTGTTCTTGGGGAGAAAGAGCCCGAAGGACCCCTGCGTCCCTGGAGTCAGCCTCTGGGTAAATGTCAATCCGCTGTTTCTTCACACTGCAGGATGGTGGCCGATCCTGACAATCCCTTGGTGTTGGACATCCTCACAGGATCCTCAACCTCCTACTCCTTCTTCCCAGATAAGCCCATCACCCAGGTAAGGGGCTTGGCATCTTGAGCCTCCTGCTCCTGGGCCCAGCGGCAAAGTACTTTTTGTATTCTGAAAATCAGAATGAAACAGGTAATTCTTTGCTGAGGCTGATGGACAATTTGAGGGGAATGGGCACACAGGTAGCAGTGTGACCCCTGGTTCCTTTATGGGAGAGGGACATAGCTACCTCTGGGTCTAGCCTGCTGTCCTCTTGCTCTGGTGGCTTTTCCTTTATCCCAGTGACATCTGTTAATTGCTTCCTCTGTCACCAGTACCCCCATGCAGTGGGGAAGAACACCCTCCTCATTGCTGGGCTCCAGGCCAGGAACAATGCCCGGGTCATCTTCAGTGGCTCCCTGGACTTCTTTAGCGATGCCTTCTTCAACTCCGCCGTGCAGAAGGCCACGCCTGGCGCCCAGAGGTAGAGTAGGGGCTCAGCTCACTGTCTGGGTGTGGGGAGGAAGAAGCCTTCCAAATTACTTGAAGATGACGGTTGCTGTGTAGGTGGTATTGGTGCTTCATGCTTCTCAAGATAGTGTTGACTTGTCTTGAGACCCCCCTAATCCCCAGCATTCCTTTTAGAAAACTGTGTTTAGGGCTGGAGATGCAGCTCAGTGGTAGAGTACTTGCCTAGCATGCATGAGCCCCTAGGTTCCAAACTCAGGCTCACCAAAGAAAACAGAACAAAAGCCTGTGATTGACTGTGCGGATGACACCCAGAGAGAGCAACACTGCCTGCTTCTTTCGTCATTTTCTTTTTCCATTCAGTGGCCTATTGTGTCCCGCGAGGAAGAATTGTGGCCCAGGACCCTAGTTTTTTATTTTCTCCTGCAGGTATTCCCAGACAGGCAACTACGAGCTGGCTGTGGCCTTGTCCCGCTGGGTGTTCAAGGAGGAGGGTGTACTCCGTGTGGGGCCTGTGTCCCATCATCGTGTGGGCGAGAAAGCCCCCCCCAACGCCTACACTGTTACTGACCTAGTGGTAAGCGCTCGGGAAGGAGGCCTCAAGGTGTTGCCAAGTTGAATCTACTCAGCTTGGAAACATTTACTGAACATTTTGATGTCAGACTGCAGGGTATAGGATGATTCCTTACCTCTACTTCTAGAAAGCTGCTTGAAGGATTGAGTCTGACACAAGGCCTCCTTTTTAAGAGCTGCGTGCAGCTGTGGGAACACTGGGGTGGGGGGTGGGGGTGGGGGGAGTGGGAGGCAGGGTGGTGGTGGGAGGGATGCAGGGAGGTGGTGCGCACCTGGGAAGTCAGATGTACCAAAGAAGCCACATTTCAGTTGGGGCTCAGGGATGGAATTGTCAGGCCAGAGAAGAGAGAGGCAGGCAGTCAGGGAGGCAGGCAATGGGGAGACCTGCATGCTTGCCAAAGCCCACACAGGGAATAGAGTGCTTTGGGCCCCCATGGACACTGCACAAATGCTGCCAGCTGTGTGATCAGCCTTGTTCAGGGAAGGTGGTGAAGGCTTCTCCAGGTTGCAGGACTCCTGGAAGTCACTGTCCTGTCTAGAGATTAAGAATTAAGGCAGCCCTGCTTGCAGGTCTGTGTCCCACCAGTCACTCCTGGCTGAGCCAGCCTTTTATCGCAGGAGTATAGCATCGTGATTGAGCAACTCTCCAATGGCAAGTGGGTCCCCTTTGATGGTGATGACATTCAGCTGGAGTTTGTCCGCATTGATCCTTTTGTGAGGACCTTCTTGAAGAGGAAAGGTAAATGCAGTTCTTGCCAGCGTGGGCCACAGGGAGCAGCTATGTCCTGTGCATGCTCCATGAGGCCCAGCTGAGCACTCTCCTGGATATGTGTGTTGCTTCCTCCCCAGGTGGAAAATACAGTGTCCAGTTCAAGTTGCCGGATGTGTATGGTGTATTCCAATTTAAAGTAGATTACAACCGGCTTGGCTACACACACCTGTACTCCTCTACTCAGGTAAGCAAGGGCAGTGTGATTTTGGCTGGCTGGTGCCCCACTCAGGCCTCCCAGTGGCCAGGACCTGCCTACTTTGTCCTGCCACAGGTGTCAGTGAGGCCACTCCAGCACACGCAGTATGAGCGCTTCATCCCCTCAGCCTACCCCTACTATGCCAGCGCCTTCTCCATGATGGCGGGGCTCTTCATCTTCAGCATCGTCTTCTTACACATGAAGGAAAAGGAGAAATCTGACTGAGGGGCCGGAGGCCAGGACTTCACACAGCAGAGTGGCACATGATTTTATTAGGGCAAGATGTTTTGTTGTTGTTTTTTAAGTCATGGGAAATGGCACAGCCTTACCTCAGCGTGGAACGCAGCATTGAGTACCAAGGGGTGGGGGCTGGGGAATCAATTTTTATGTAAGTTTTTCTACCTTGAGTTGCTGCGAAGCGTTTTTCACATGTGCTGTCACTTTCTTTTCTAATCTAAAATAAAGAGAAATGCTGGCCCTGTCTTGTGGTCAGGTGGGGACACTGTTCTGAGATGACTGGATACAAATTAGCAAGTTGCTGTGTGTGGGTGTGTGTGAATGCGCATGCATGTGTGTGCTGGCATTGGGACTTACTTGGACTCAGGACCTCTTTCCTTTGGCTTTTTCGCTGTTGGTACTCTACCACTTTGAACCACACCTTCATTTTCAGCTTTCGTGGATATGAGTATCTCAAATTTGTTTATTGAGTCTGGCTTCAAACCTTAGTCCTTGGGTCTCAGCCTCCTGAGGACGGTAGGTGTAAGACACCAGTGCCTACCAGTTGCTTTTTCCAGTTTTGCAAAGATTGAAAGATTGTCTTTTAACTATGAAATAACTGCATGCTAACTTCTCAGCAGCTCAAGTTGTTGATACCCTCAGGGTGCTGGAACCATAGCATGGCTGAAAATGATTTTTTGCTCACTACTATAGTCCATGGTTGCATTCTTAAAAAGCATGTGTAAAATTTTGAAGTCTCTTCTTCTCATGCCCAGAGCATAAAGATCATTCTGAAAGCCAAATATTCAGCACATACATATATACTATGCACTGTAAATGTGTATTTAATCTCACATATCCTATAACAGATGCTAGTCAGAAAGGAAATCGGCAAGTGTAGACCCACACCCAGTCTTTTTAGTTGTGCTAGGTTGAGTTCAGTGGCTAGAGGAGCTGGGAGGGAAGCATTATCCCAGTGCCACAGCCGTTCCAGAAGCCATGCGCCATTGTGGAGGCAGTCAGGGTCTGCTGTGGATTTCTATGATCCCTGTTTGTCTCAACCAGGTAGAGCATGCCTACTGGGGCCATGGCTGATCCATTCTAGGGTCAAATACTCCCTGTCCCCATAGCTACTCACTGCCTGGTATGCCTTCTCTGTGATCTGAGGCGCAGATCTGACCGTTCAGCCCAGCCATTCAATGTGGGAGGTCTGTGAGGACAGAACAGGGCTGAAGATAAGGTGAGGTAATGCACAGGGACCTAATGATTTAAGGGTTAGGTCTTGTGAATTCATCTAGACCAGAGGTTGGCAAACTGGCCTGTGTGGACCACAGTGGCCTGCCACTTGCAGTCTTGAAGTAGTTTTTACACTGTTAAGTGGTTAGAAAAATGACATATGAAAATTCCAATTTCAGGGTCCACAATTAAAACTGTTGAAACACAGCACTAGTTTGCTTAGCTTGCTTTGTGCTTCAGGAGAGTTGAGTAGTTGCCACAACTTGATTTACTTACTACCTAGCCTTCCACAGAGTTTGCCAACTTCTGATCTAGAGCCATCCCTTGATTCTGCAGGGCAAAGAACTTAAGTCCACATAGATTATAGAATTTAAGAGTTAGTGGCTACAGAGTAAACTGAATCAATTTGTTCCTTCTGTTTGCCAAACCAAGGCCTCTTCTTTGGCTGACCAGCCCACACTCGGTCTGCTTGTCTCCTGATTCTAACACTCCCAGTGAGCTCCCATAGCATCCACACACCTTTATGACACATGCTGCCAAGTCCTTTTAGTAACACATCAGTGACACACAGTGTCATGGGGCTGCCCGCCATGAGCAGAGCAGGAGAGCCGCCTGGCAGAGTGAATCACACTCTAGGTTAGCCAGAAACAACATTTTCAGCTTTGTTTCCAGGCAGCTCTTCCCTACCAGCCTGTTGGCCAGTAAAGTGGCTGCTGATTGCTGGAGAAGCCAGCCGATCATCTTGTCTAATTTCAGGTTCTTCAGGGCTAGAATATGTTCACCCCAGAGGCTTAAGTGGAGCACATTTGCAGCTACTCGTGCTGATGGTCTCTGCAACATCAAGAGGATAAGAGTTTAGAACCCCTGGCCAAGCCCTCAGTCCACATGGCATTCTTAACACAGTCATGCCAAGGCCTTCCCTTCCTTATTCTTGCTCCACCTCTCCCTCCTGATAGGCTTCCCTCAGCTGACACACACAGGCATTTGCATCATTAAAATTCAGGCCTGTCTGTCCTTGCTACAGTCACTGAATCAGACCTACTGCTCCAGTTACAACTTCCAACAGACTGGCCCTTCATGGTTTTTTATATTAACTTCATAGTGTCCAAATCTGCTCTCTGAAATATCTTCCAATTCCCCTGGGCTCTAGCTCCAGCACTGAAATAAAGAAGCCAAGAAGAGGTGTTATGCTAGAATTTGAGTAATGGTTTGGAGGCCAGTTCCTTGGTTTATTCTCTGTGTGCTCCTGTACTTACACCTACCCATGTATGCCAGGCACTATATTGCTTGTCCAGACAATGTGGAGCTCCCCAGAAACACAGTCCCCTCAAGGCCTGGCCTTACCTTACTGGCCTCTCGCTGGAGCAATGCCCTCACCAGATGCCTGGTATCCATAGGCACCATCTTGGGCAGCTCAGGGAGCTGAGACTCTTGGTAACTGCGGCTTTCCAGGTGGGCCCTTCCCTGGCCATAGAAGGGGTTGGCGATCCCGAAGATTTCATATGCAATGGCTCCTACAGCCCAGGCATCAGCCTTGCTATAGTCAATCACTGCCCTGGGGCCAGGACAGGCTGTGGACACCTGCTCAGGAGGCAGAGGATGAGATGTCAGGTGTTGTTTGTGTCACCTAAGCCAGAGGCTAATGTGTCCCCAGAGACCCAGAATTTGAATGAGTTGAAGCTCAAGCCAGAAGGATCTGTGGAGGCTGGCCAGCTGAGGCAGACAAATCTATCTTGGGGATAGAGGGAGAGCCAGGCTAAAGCAGAGAAGAAGGCTCCTGTCTCATGCCTTTGCTTGAGTGGGAACAGAGTGGAAGCATCTGCTAATGGTGGAAGATGCAGAGCAGGACTTACCTCAGGAGCCATCAGGCAGCCATTTCCACCCCGATCCACGTACCAGCTGGTAAAAGGCAGCTGCAGGCCGACATGCTCATCAGCCAGGCAGCAGCCAAAGTCAGAGATCACCAACCAGGGATAGCCATCTGGAGGAGCAGCAGAGGTGAGTGATGATTCTATTCTGCCCTAAGAGGCCTTCCCTTGTCCCTCTGAAAGCCACCACCAAGCGAGTGAACTGGGCTAACAGGCTGGGTGCCCAGACGCACAGGTCAAGCTATGAGTGGAAATTGACTCGCCAAGGAGCTGAACAGGAGGGCTAGCCACAGAATGGAGTGACTCCCAGAGACAAAAGCTCACACAGAGGACTGGGTGAGGAGTCTAGCTCCACCTAAATGGTAGCTAGACCTGTCCCAAGACCAGAGGAACTGGGACTTGGCTCAGATGATTTCCAAGAGCCTTTACATACTAGGAGTTTTGAGTTTGATTTTGAAGCTCCAAGAAATCTAACAATGCCTTAGGAATAAGTTGTTTGTAAAAGTACCCATACGGTTCCTTTAGTCACTTAGCTGCGTATTTGTTTTAAATCTAGTTTTAATAACTTATCAGACATTATGTGAGAGGCAGAAGCAGGAGGATCTCAAGTTCAAGTTATGTAGAAAAACCAGTATGAGCTACATAGTAGGACCTTGTCTTAAGAAAACAACTTCATTTTAAACAAAGGCTGGTGATATAGCTCAGTAAGTGCAGATAACATGGGAAAGACCCTGGATTTTAGCCTCAGACCTTCCTCTGCAAAATATCAGAGATGTGAGTCTTTAAAGTGGGGAGGCAGGTGGCTTCTACTGAGCACTTCCAGTGCTGGGAGCTCATTACTTTTGGAGGCAGCCGGGCTTCCATTTGCATGGTTTTTACTGAATTACTTTTGCCACTGAGTTAAATCCAGCTCACTTTTACTTTATTTATTTTATTTACTTTTTATTTTTTTGGGCCCGGTCTTGGGGCCTGAACTCTGGGCCTGGGCGCTGTCCCTCAGCTCTTCAGCTCAAGGCTAGCGCTCTACCACTTGAGCCACAGCACCACTTCTGGCTTTTTTCTTTTTTCTTATGTGGTGCTGAGGAATCGAACCCAGGGCCTCATGCATGCAAGGCAAGTGCTCTACCACTGAGCCACCTTCCTAGCCCCTCACTTTTACTTTATTTATTTTATTTATTTATTTATTTATTTTTATTTTGAGAATACCGTACAGAGGAGTTACAATTACATGGGCAAGATAACGAGTACATTTCTTATCAAGCATTGTGGCCTCTTCTGTTTCCCCTTCTCATCCCTTCCCATACTCCCCCCTTCCCCCACCCAATCCTCCCCCCACCTCCCACCAAAGTTGTAAAGTTCGTTTTTTGACATAACGACTTGTACATCTCATTGTTGCAATGGGTCCACCTGTATCCCTAGTTAAATGATTTGTTTTTTCCCTTCCCCTCCACAAATTATACCAACATCAAATACAGTGAAAGCATAGGTTATACCTTGGGGGAGGGACATACAAAGCAACAAAGAAATCATCTTATAAGTATGTTAGAAACAATTGCATGAAAGAAAAAAAACAAAAAAACATTTGAATACTTATCTTGGGGTTCATTCCCCTAACATCAACTTATCTGACCTTTTCTGCTTGACTCAGACATAACTAATTATTGCAAATAGGAAAACCATGGGACCTATGTTTCTTTGGGCCTTATTTCACTCAATTCACTTTTACTTTATTAAAAAAAAAAAAAAAAGCTGCAATACTAAGGCTGCTGTTGTACAAGTAGGCATCAGAGAGCCTGACTCCCTAGAGGAGGAATCAGAAAGAGGGATGGTCTGTTTCTGGAGTATATAGTTAAAGAAGCCACAACAAGCCGGGAGCCAATGGCTCATGCCTGTAATCCTAGCGACTCAGGAGGCTGAGATCTGAGGATCACAGCTCAAAGCTAGCCCAGGCAGGAAAGTCCATGAGACTCTTATCTCCAATAAATCACTAGAAAACCGGAAGTAGTGTGGTAGAGTGCTTGTCTTGAACTGATGAGTGCATCGACAGTGCCCAAGCCCAGAGTTCGAGCCCCATGACTGACCAAAAAAAAAAAAAAAAGCTACAACAGGATCGAGCATAAAACCCATCAGGGACCTGAGGATCCTAAGGTCTTCCAGAGAAGACTGGGCCATAGCAAGTG